CTCTTGCTTCAACTATGGAAGTAGTCAGAGATTCAAGAGCATAATTAATTTCATCTTTGATTTGCAAAGGAATGTTTGGATTGAAGTTATATTCCATAAATGTTCGATATTGCTCCCAATCAGCTCTATGGTAAATGAAAGCTGTTGGGATTAGAAATTATTTCTTGGGATATTTCAAAAGTTACTGGAAGGTGATCAGAACCGAAGTCAGCATGGGTAACCAATTGGCTACAAAGTTGACATGAATCAGTTAAGACCAAATCAATAGTTGAGGGATTTCTTGCTGAAGAAAAGCATGTTGGGCTGTTTGGGTATTGTGTAATAACCTGCAGAACAATTATCAAACAGAATATTTCCATTGGAATTGCTTTGAGCATTATTCCATGAGCGGTGTTTTGCATTAAAATCACCAATAATGAAGAATTTAGACCTATGACGGGTAAGTTTCTCAAGGTCACCATTGAGAAAATTATTTTACTGGCCTACGCATTGGAATGGCAAATAGGCAGCTATAAACGTAAGGTGTCCAAATTTTGTTCCAACAGAATGTCCCAAAATTTCAAAAACTTTGGTTTCAAATAAAGAAAGAATTCTATGTTTGATTCGTCTATGAACAATGATGGCAACGCCACCACAGGGTCCATCAAGACGATCATTTCTATAAATGAAATAATTTGCGTCCCTCTTAACCTTATGGTCAGGTTTAAGGAACGTTTCAGTTATAACGGCAATATGCACGTTATGAACTCTCAAAAAGTTAAATAGCTCGTCTTCATTGTCTTTAAGAGATCGAGCATTCCAATTTAAAATATTTAATGCTTTAAAATCTATTACTGAATTTCAAAGTAATAACAATATTGTTTGCAAATTATACTCCAGTTTGAATAGCATCAAACATGGAGTTAGATTTAAGCATATCAGAAATCATGTCAATTAATGATTTCTGTAAAAATTCCATTTTAGGAGCAGTAATGCTTCCTAAGTCAAAATTTTCAAAATTTTTGTTAGAATTACGTTGGTTAGTATTGTACGAATGTAGAATTTGTTCCTCGCTGACCGTTGTTAACAGCAGAGGAATTTTTACCTGGTCGGGAAAGTGGAGCGTTCCCTACCTGTCGATTAGAACGAGATTGTAGGATCGCTTTGCGAGTGTTACATTCCCAAAAATTGGAGTTGTGGTTTTCACCACAATTTGAACATTTAAATTTCTTAGGATCTTCCTTCACAGGACAGTCGTCCTTTGCGTGAGAGGAATCACCACAATTCATGCATTTAGCTGGAATGTAGCAATTTTTAGTTCCGTGACCCCATCCCTGGCACTTACGGCACTGGGTGAGGTTTTGGAATTTTCCTCCAGTCTTCCTGAAGTGTTCCCAGTTCAATCGGCTAGCTTTTTCTAACGCCTTAAGCTTGTTTAATTCACTAGACTTGAAGTGAACTAAATAAAAATCATTAGAAATCCCGTTCCGCGAATCGCCAGGACGGGATTTTATTTTCATTTTGATTACTTGGAGTGACACAATTCTAAGTAATTTTGCCAGTTCATCTTCGATCTGATCCAGGGATTCACCACTGGGCAGTCCTTTCATGACAACCTTGAACACACGTTCAATTTTTTTGTCGTAAGTAAAAAAAATTGTGCTGCTTCTCAGTAAGATACTTGAGAAGACATTTAAATTCGTCCAAGGTTTCAGCCAATACACGGCATTCACCCCGACGTCCTATTTTAAGTGAAAACTTAATTTTTATGAAGTTCAAAAGTTCCATGCGAAGAGCATGAAAATCGAAAGTGATTATCACAATAGGGGGATTTTTTTCCTTCTTGGCATTAAGCCGGGAAAGTTTACTAGAATTTTTCTTGGATGATGGATCATTCTCATCATCCGTGAGCAAATCAAATTGATTACTTAAATTAATTTCATCAGAAGGAGGATCAAGAGTTTGCCCCTTTCTTTTGCACTTAGGCGCCATGGCGGCAGTAAATTTTTATCCAAATCGACTTCTAAGCAGATTACTATAAGAATCTGAAGGATCGAAGAGGAATTTTCCAAATCGATATCCAAGAAGGATTACCTCGGGTAGGGTCCAAACAAGGATCGAAGAGGAATAAGAGTTGAACAAGGTAGAAATTTTACAAGTTGAGCACTGAAAAGTGCTGTTTAAATTTGTTGTAGCTTTAGGTAGTAGTAACACTTCCTTCAGCAAAAAGCAAATAGATCCGCACGGCAAGAGAGCACGCAGTCCGCATGCGTTTAAGATCTTTTGACATCACCTTTGCATGGGTCCCATCTCATTGCTCGATTCCGGACTATGAGAAGGCGGGCTCACTTGCTAAGGTGGGCGCTATGGAAGGCGATATTTACGATCGAAAAATCACCTACGATGAATTTTTCTTCATTTATCGTCAACAGTCACTCGCCAGCTGGCAAAATAAATTAAATGAAGGGAGTTTGGGACGATGGCTATACTCGATCATCCCTAAGGTGTCGAAGAGCCCTTGGTTCAAGGGGTTGGAGGTGGGTTGAGACTTCATACGTCTGATGTCTTGCCTCATGTCCAATCACTATTCGTTGAACGCTCACTTGTTCCGTGTTGGGCTGGGGACAGCAATTTCTGTGAATGTGGACAAGCTTACCAAGACGCCGATCACATTATTTGGTCTTGTGCTGAGCATCGTGGAGTCAGATCTGAGCTGTATGATTCCCTTCGGGCTCGAGGTAGACAACCTAATGTTCCAGTTTGGGATATTTTGGCTAGACGCGATCTGGAGTTTATGAAACTCATATATGTTTACTTTAGGAATATTAATCTTAGATTGTAAGTTTGATTAACCTTGTGTTTAGTTTGTATTTTGTACGTGTGGGTTTTTTTATGTTTGATTTCAAGATGAATAGAAATAAGTTCATGTTTTAGGATTAATTAAATATTTGTATCGTAAATCAAATTTCAAACCTCTTTTGCCCATTTCCCATCCAAAATATTATAAATCTTTTCTAACCTCGAGTCAACCGCAAGTATTCGGTCCGGTAAATAAAATAAATATATAAATAAATAAAATAAATAAATAAATAATGTATAACGAAAATGATAACTCGGCTCTGTAAAGTTTAATCGATTGAGCCTGTACAAATAAAGTAATTATTTTAAAAAAATACGCTGGCCCACATGTATATGGGGGACATTTTTTAACATTTTTCCAACGGGCCAACCCCTAGATTTGTGCCATTAGGTGAGAAAACCACTTTCTGAAAATTTTAGCTCATTCGGATGTAACCATGATTACCTAAATCCCTAAAACAAAATGGCATTGAAACATTGAAATTTAGAAATTTCGTCAAATTGCAAAAAAAGCTAAATAAATTGACATATTAGTTAAACAAGCTAAACATATTTAAAAACGACACTAATACACAATAATACAGTCCAGTCCAAAAAGGCCAAAAATATGCACAAAATGGTCTGAAAAAAACTTAGAGTCATCGAAACGTATGAGTAGTAAGTAGCCATAAAACAACAAAGTATGAAGTATTAAAACTAACAATGGCATAAAATCGCAAAAAAATAGCTTCAGAACGCTAGAATGGCATTAAAAAACGGTAAACGTTCTAAACACTTTCAACATAAGATTAAACAACCTCAAAAACGTATCAAATTGCATCACAATCGCTAAATTAGCCTAGAATTACCAAATTGATTTTTAAACCTCAAAATGGCCTTAAAATGCTTAGAACAGCTTGACAACTCTAATAATTATCATGAAACCGACAACTCTCATATTGAAATTCACGCGTCGTCATTGTCCTAAAGGTTCTGATAATTTCCTAAATTAAACATTCCGAATTGGGGTCTATTACCGTAGCTCAGTCGGTAAAGGCGCTACAATAAGCAAGACCATGTTGGAGGCGGCTGGTTCGATTCCCGATCCGGTTTAGGATTTTTCGGGTTGGACAAATTCTATTCTATTTTTTCTATTTTTCTCTCACGCCAAAGTCACGAGTTCAAATCTCTTCCCCGGACAAGTCACGAATAACCCAACGAGTTTTAAAGTGACTATGAAAAAAAAAACACTTTCAAGGCTTCAACTCATGCAAATGTTTTTTTTATGGTTAGCTTTAAAAATTTAGTAAAGAAATTCATTACTGTCACGATTTCATCTACAAGCCTAAGTGACCTGTTTAAAACATCAACTCCCGTCACATTTTCATAAATTACAAACTCACCCATCGTGACCATGACACAAATATAATTGAAAATGATTAATGGATCAATAAAACTGTTCCTGGCTATTTTTCCATCCCATCCTTCAACCGTTGGATTCCATTCGAATGGATGTTATTGCACTTCTATACGGTATTTTCTACCGTCCAGAAGAACAACTTGTACATACAAAAGTGCACACACTTGTTCCGATTCCCACACACGTCGCCTTCGTTAATGTCCCGAAAGGATTGGAGGCAGTACGTGGAACACATCAGCGGAACAGCTTGTAGCATTGGAGTAGCTTATGGAATAACCTTACCTTGAAACATCCAAATTGGAAAACGCGAAAGCCATTTCGAGACGCAAGAACCACCTGCGGCAATGAATTCTAATGATTACACCTCGTTTCACTTGTACGGTTGGTCGTCGGTTGGAGGTAGTCCCATTAGCTGGTTTCCGCCCGACCGCTGCTGTGTTGATAGCAATTTGGGTTATCGGGAACATTGCAACACACGGGAGCACTCGCTGTTTTTCGTTCTTTTTCTTTACAGCCAACATGGGATTTTCAACAAATGACCTTAATTATTATATCCCCTATTTTTTTACTTGCTTTCAGCTATCACAACATACAGCAACTCTGTGGGATCGATAATGCAATCCCATCAAGGTTTTTCTTCTTTTTTCCTAACGACATGACCACCTAGGTCTGCGAGATTCGCAAATGACTTTCTAATCAACGAAACAAAAACAAAACACAAACGTAACGCGTAAAGATCTGGGATTGGAATAGGCATATTTACTTTTTCTACAGTTTTGTCACTCATCCTGACAGGCGCATCAATTTTTTCCTCCGTTTCGATTGACGAGATTTTACACCACTCACTTCGCGGGTTCGACTGCTAAAATCGAAACAACCGTGTGTGTCGTTTGTCGAACTAAAAATTAACTTTTAATGAGAGAATGTTGCTTTTTCCCAAGCACTTTTGTATTCTAGAAAGTTTTACTTCACAATTTTCACTCACTCCCGATGCAGAAGAACGCGAGCAAACAAAAAATACCGTTCAACCACACCACCACTACACCAGTTGTTGTTGTTGGTTTTGCTTCTGCTGTTACCGGGTGGGGGGAAGTGTCCTTCCCACCCACTGGGGGTATATATGAAGACTACTGCTGTTGTTGCTGCTGTTGCTCCCGTCCTTAGTAGGTACCCGTTTTGGTAGTTCCGAGAAACGAGAGTTGATTCGCGCACGACGACTGCAGCGATACGAATGTCCTTTCGATTCCGGAGCCCACGAGTAAGGACCTCGCGAGACGTGGATGCGCTCTAGAACCCGCGCCCGTTTATCTATGTGTTAGTAGTTAGTAGTACAAAATACAATACATAATTGGAAGGAAGAGAGTGGGTGTTGCTCGTTTCTGCTGGTCGAACAGAGTCAGTGTGCGGGAAGTTATACCAACAAGAGAGGGAGAGAGTGAGAACCTCAGCGAAAAAAAAACCGTCGAAGCTTTTTTGTTCCAACGTTGAACAGTGGGTTGTCGGAGAATTTCAGGGGTAAAATTACAAAGTTAGATTAACACAAGATCAACGATAATTGGGGGGGGGGGGTTAGAAGGAAAGGGATGTAAGTGACTTTGATCGATTCTCTTCATCGACTTTCTCTTTTGATAGCCACAGCTTTGTAAACAGGTTTTGCGCTATTTCTGCTTTATAGGGTTCAATTCAGTGTAGTGTAGGATATAAGTAGATCCTACTCAAATTTGGGTTGTTTAGAAATAGCGTGCAGTCAATCCTCCTAGAGTCGGTGTATAATGAGTTATGCCAAGAGAAAAACAGTTGAACTCGCATCGCGGTTTTCGAAGGATTCCCTTTCTTTTCACTGATCAACAGAGGACTTCTACATCAACTTCAAATGACTTCTAGTGAGAACAAAACATAGCGGCTGTAGTGAATCATTATATCAGTGATTTTTTTCAAATTATCTTGTCAAACAATAGTAGAAATTCTCATTACTGATCATTAGCAAACGTATCCCATGACAATTTAATGCTCACTGCGTGTTTATGATCATTTCTTCAATTTTATTTTATACTAGCTGAGTGTGCCCGGTCTTACTCGGGATTCAATATTAGCTTGAGTTTATACGCCGATTTAAAAAAAAGCACCCCCCTCCCTATTATCTAAGGGGCTACCCCCTATGATTATCTCCTTATACCCCCACACTCGCCCCCACATGCCTAATTTGGTTCCATTTGCTTGATTAGTTCTCGAGTTATGCAGAAATTTATGTTTCATTTGTATGGGAGCCCCCCCTTACAGAAGGGGGAGGGGTCTCGTAGAGTCGGTGTATAATGAGTCACGCCAAGAGTGAAGCCAAGTCTACCTATCGAACTGTCAAACCAGCTACCTATCGTGCAAAGTAAACAAACATTACGATGCTATGAAAGGTCCACGAAAGGTATTGCAATAAAATATAAAATATAATCGAAGAAATTATAATAAACACGCAGTGAGCATTCAATTGTCATGGGATACGTTTGGTCATGATCAGTAATGAAAATTTCTACTATTTTTGTTAAGATAGTTTGAAAAAAATCACTGATATAATGATTTACTACAGCCGCTATTATTTTTTCTCGCTAGAAGTCATTTGAAGTTGATGTAGAAGTCCTCTGTTGCCAAGTTAAAAGAAAGGGAATCTTTCGAAAACCGTGATGCGAGTTCAACTGTTTTTCTCTTGGCGTGACTCATTATACACCGACTCTAGGTAGCCGGTTTGACAGTTCAATAGGTAGACTTCACGGTAACCACAAAATACCCAATAATGACTACAAAGTAAGCATTTTCGAGGAAGACTGGGACTACCTATTAAATGAGTAAAAATATTACCCATTTATGAGTATTTGTTATTCAAAAATGAATACTTACTACTTGTTTTTGTAGTTGTAATTACTCATAAAACGGTAAAATTTTACTCATTTTATGGGTAGTCCCAGTTTTCCTCGAAAATGCTTACTTTGTAGTCATTATTGGGTATTTTGCGGTTACCGTGTTGGCTTCACTCTTGGCGTGAATCATTCACTCAAAAAATTCCACATGTTATCATCATGTTTCTCTCACTTAATTTTGCGCTTATTGTGAAACGCATCCATTTCATGTGTGAATCTTATGATATGAACCATGTCTGAACACTATGGATTTGAATTGTGACACACATGGATTCTATGTGGCTCATATGGTAATATCAATAGCTTTGCACATCATAGTTCAATATTCTACAATATTCTACTTTATCGACTTCTACTTTACCGACTATAAAAATGAATCGACAAATATATAAACAAAACTTCCAGAGGCAAGAGCTTTCACATATCTTTTTAATGGGTATGATTTGGGATTCGATCATGGACTGTTAGGGTGTGCTGCTGCCGGAGTCTTCGTTCGATCTTACTGTGCCATGGTTGTTCTAATATATGAGGCGGGATGATAGGATAAAGTCACAATTCTTGTTTTCGATGTTTACCTTTCTGAGTAAGCAATTCACATTGTATTGAAATGCAAAACACTTTAAATCCATCTGTTTTGAACAGTAGTGTGATTCAATGTGCAATACACTTGAATAGAAAGTGAAATATTCTCAACATTTCAAAGTTTGAAACACTAGAAATTAACATGTATAACACATTGAACCAAGGTGAAATACACTTAAAGTAAATGTGATCGTGCATTTAAAAAATCAAGTGTTTAAACACTTCGATCAAACGTGTGGTATTTTTTGAGTGTTATACACCGACTCTAATGGTGGTAAGCTCCAACCGGTATTATCCTCGGATTAAATCCCGATCAAGAATGTCCGGCTGGTTTGATGTCGACATCAGAGTTAATCAACATAATTCTGAGCAAACATTTTTCAGATCATACAAACAGGGACGGTATTAAAAGTTAATCCGAGTTGGAGCTTACCGCCATAAATCCTCCAATCAAAACAAACTTCACGGCATATGAGACCAACTCATATTTGAGTACCGTTTACTCAAACTCGCAAAAGCGAAGGTCACTCGTAGAATGAGTAAATTTTTATCAAATATGAGCAAATGTCACTATATGAATGACATTTACTTATATTTGAGTAAAAATTTACTTATTCTATAGGCTGTTTCTATGCACCACCAATAGAGATTAGTGACGTTTAACGCACGCACACGCAGTTGTAAAGTTGTTTATTATTTTCCTTTGTCTAACCTAAAAAATGTATGAAAGTAGATCTGTCAAAATGAGTTTGACATCGATTTGTTATGCATTTTCCTCGGATATTCACTAACACGCTCTCACATATCCCACCAATACAACCAGGCGTGAAAATCTCTATGTAGAGTGCGCTATGCGATTATGAGAGGAAACGTCAACCAAACCGTTTGTTTACATCCAAATTACAATTTTTACATCTCAAATTAAAGCATATTGTTATGCGTATCTTGCATAACACCACATTAAAACGGAAGATCATAACCGCTGGGGTAGTTTTATAAATCTTCACTTTTCTTAACACAAATATGTGGAAGCACAGGCCGGTTCACTCCAAAATCGATACAGAAAACAAAATATTCCATGTGGATGATGATTACAAGGACCTGCGATGGATAAATTAATCAGAAAAGGTAAAAACATTTGCCTCTTCCTATGCTTTACGGCGAATATTTCAGCCCTCATCACTCTTTTGATGGTTCTCTTATTCACCACCAGAGGCTGAAACGATCGTTTAATTTCCATTAGATTCGCCTATTGACAAATCCAAGTTTCAATCGGCCACCGTGGCGCTGCAATCGCAGCGGTGATAAGTCCGAAATAATGTGTCAAACTGAATACATTTTTGAAATTTCAACCAAAAAACTATTATTTTGTATTTATTCTAGCGAGTTTCTGTGGGAGTCAAAACATGATCCGAGCAAAAAAGTAGTACTCGTAATAATGGTATATAATTCTGAATTTTATCGTGCTTTGTTTCGAAAATATTTTCCAAATAAACAAACATCATCCAGATCACCTGATTCGTCCACCGACTAAATCTATTGCCACTTAAAAAATAATTTCAGTCGGTGTATTAATCAGCAGATTAAATCGTTTTTCGTCTGGTGCTACACCGAGCAATCGGCCTATTTAATAGTTTTTCGTCGATGGATTTAGTCGGCCAACTTTGTCTGCTGTTTAATCGGCAGATGATTTCAAACCTTAACATGTTTTCTGTAATTTAACTGTCTTGAAGTAGCTTTTTATTTAGGAACAATGCATTACAAAATAATTTTATGCATTTTGTACAAGGTTCATCAATTGAGAAATCCAACTTAAACTCCTGCGCGCCTGGTGGCAGGAATAAGCACTAACCGACGGTGATAAGTCTGTGACAGCCCTTGACAATTTCATTGATTGTTTGCAAAATTGTTTAATTTCAATGTAATTTCATGCAAATTTCGTGTCAGCATGGATGAACCTTGTACAAAATGCATAAAACTATTTTGTAATGCATTGTTCTTAAATAAAAAGCTACTTCAAGACAGTTAAATTACTGAAAACATGTTAAGGTTTGAAATCATCTGCCGATTAAACAACAGACAAAGTTGGCCGACTAAATCAATCGACGAAAAACTATTAAATAGGCCGATTGCTCGGTGTAGCACCAGACGAAAAACGACTTAATCTGCTGATTAATACACCGACTGAAATTAATTTTTAAGTGACAATAGATTTAGTCGGTGGACGATTCGGGTGATTTGGATGATGTTTGTTTATTTGGAAGATATTTTCGAAACAAAGCACGATAAAATTCAGCATTATATACCATTATTACGAGTACTACTTTTTTGCTCGGGTCATGTTTTGACTTCCACAGAAACTCGCTAGAATAAATAGAAAATAATAGTTTTTTGGTTGAAATTTCAAAAATGTATTCAGTTTGACACATTATTTCGGACTTATCACCGCTGCGATTGCAGCGTCACGGTGGTCGATTGAAACATGGATTTGTCAATTGAGAAATCCAACTTAAACTCCTGCGCGCCTGGTGGCAGGAATAGGCACTAATCGACGGTGATAAGTCTGTGACAGCCCTTGACAATTTCATTGATTGTTTGCAAAATTGTTTAATTTCAATGTAATTTCATGCAAATTTCTTGTCAGCATGGATGAACCTTGTACAAAATGCATAACATTATTTTGTAATGCATTGTTCCTAAATAA